TCTCTCTCTCTCTCTCTCTCTCTCTCTCTCTCTCTCTCTCTCTCTCTCTCTCTCTCTCTCTCTCTCTCTCTCTGTGTCTGTGTGTGTGTGTGTGACACACCCACCCACACACACACACAGCCATCACCATCCGTGCACAGCCAGACAATTTTTTTCTTTTTTCTTTTTTTTTTAAAGGTAATTTATATTCTTCTCTCAATCTTTGTTTTTGCATATATTCTATCTCATCCTCTTGCTCTCTATGTATAGTACGGGGGAACACCAACCAATCCTGGAACTCTCCCAAGCCCACGGGGTAGGTTTGCACCGCAGAAGTGGTGTGAGAGCAAGGCTTGTATCAGCCCCTCATCACGATGAGGCAGGGTGATCAGGCATTGCCTACGGGGCTAGTACCGAGCATCTTTGGCCAGTCACTTGCACCTCCCCCTACCCCCCTCCAACCCCACATTAGCGGTGTCTAACGATGAATATCATTGCTGCATAGCGGCCAACAATATTTGGCCAAGGTCCTGCCAATGCTGGCTTGGAGAGCCGACAGGTTATCTCTAGCTGGTAGAACACCAAGCTTGCCCAGGCACGTACGTGAGCCAATGGGGATTGAACCCACGACCTCCTGAATGCAACTTCTGTGCCTTACCAACTGAGCTAAGCCTTTGGAAACACAATTGCATAATAGGTTGAAAGCGGCCCCGCCAAAAAACTCGGCCCTTTGGTACTACCGGCCCAGTGACTTGCATGTGCGGTACTACAGGCCCCCACGCCTGGCTCGAAGTCCACTACCGGATCACGACTCTTGCAAATAACAGGGCCACAATCATTCTGATGCAAAAGAGGCCGGCGGTGGTACCGCTGAAGTATCGAATGAGGCCCACCAATGCTATTTTGAAAAAGAAGGGCCCTACCGATTCACGAATCTGACGGAAAAACAGCGCCAGATTCTTGAACCGTTAAAAACAGGCCCAGGGAGATGTGGCCACCACGCGAAGGCTCCTTTCACCCAGGGGAAACGTTTAGGCGTGGGCTCTTTCTACCAAGTATCCCCGTAGTTACGCTGGTTAACAGAGTCTGTTGTTAGTTACTGGGGACTTCTGTTATCACTTCTGGTTTCCCTCGTTGCCTGCCTGCTCTACAGTCTTCCCCGAATACAACGCACGGTCATTAAAGCCGAATTTGGTCCATCTTTCTGTCTAAATTCAGCTATAATGACCGTATGTTGTATTCGGGGGAAGACTGTAGTTTCGACGAAAGGGCGCTCCACCGCTCCTTTTTGTTGAACATGTCATTTGGAATTGGTGGTCGAGGAATAAAGAACATTTGCGGCTTTGCAAAAGTTTGCATTGCTCGTGAGCCTTTCAAGAAGTTGCAGAATCCATCGAATCTGTTTACATTTTGGTAACCGTGATTATTCAGGCTATAGAGTCGCAACTGTCGCATATTTTCGGTAATACTTGAAATTTCGAAATAATATAGCACGTGCAAGGGAAGAGGGAAAAAGAGCACAGACTCTATGTCTGTTGTTAAGAAAATCTCTGTTCGTGGAATTCCAGACCTTCAAGGCAGGCGACGCCACCTAAATCTTACGCAAAGGGTTCCCACCAGGTGTTTGGACCTTCTTATAGACTGATATCCCAAGGACTGTGGAAAGGACACAGTGCTAAGCATGTGCAACGGTGAGGGTTACAGCGCTGGCAACCCATAATCTCTCTCTCTCTCTCTCTCTCTCTCTCTCTCTCTCTCTCTCTCTCTCTCTCTCTCTCTCTCTCTGTGTGTGTGTGGGCCTGCCAGGCAAATCGAGCGTGAGCGCGC